GTTAGCCAGGATGGTCTCGATCTCCTGACCTCGTGATCCACCCGTCTCGGCCTCCCAAAGTGCTGGGATTACAGGCTTGAGCCACTGCGCCCGGCCTGCTTAGGGACTCTTAATTACATTTCCTGGATAGAGCAAGATAAAGAGAATTAGGGGTGGAGACTGAAGATGTTATTAAACTGCTGCAATCTCATGATAAAACTTTAACAGATGAAGAGTTGCTTTTTGTGGATGAGCAAAGAAAGTGGTTTCTTGAGATGGAATCTACTCCTGGTAAAGATGCTGTGAACACTGCTGAAATGACAAGAAAAGATTTAGAATATTCCATAAACTTAGTTGATAAAGCAATGGCAGGGTTTCAGAGGACTGACTCCAATTTCGTAAGAAGTTCTACTGTGGGTAAAATGCTATCAAATAGCATCACATAGCAGAGAAAAATCTTTCATGAAAGAAGAGTCAATCAACGTGGCAAACTTTGTTGTCTTATTTTAAGAAACTGTCACAGGCACTCCAACCTTTAGCAATCACTAACCTGATCAGTCAGCAGTCGTCAATATCAAGCCAAGACCCTCCACCAGCAAAAAGATTACAACTTGCTGAAGGCTCAGATAATTTTTAACAATTTTTAGCAATAAACCATTTAAGTATGTACTTTTTAAAGATATAATGTTAATGCACACTTAATAAACTATAGTATAGTACAAATATAACTTTTTTTTTTCCCCCTGAGATAGGATCTCCCTCTGTCACTCAAGCTGAAGTGCAGTGATGTGTTCATAGCTCACTACAGCTTCAACCTCCTGGGCTCAAGCAATCCTCCTGCCTCAGTCCAAGTTGCTGGGACTACAGGTGGGTGTCACCACACCTGGCTAATTTCTCTTTTTGTAGAGATGGGGTCTTGCTATGCTGACCTGGCTGACTGGTATTAAACTCCTGGCCTCAACTGATTTTCCCCACCTTAGCCTACCAAAGTGCTGGGATTACAGTCACGAGCCACCACCACACTCAGCATAAGCATAACTTTTATATGCACTAGTAAACCAAAAAACTCATGTGACTCACTTTATTGCAACATTTGCTTTATTGCCATGGTCTAACATCGAACCTGCAATATCTCCAAGTTATGCCCATACTGTGAAAATTAAATGAGATGATGCAAGCAAAACATACAGTACATGGCTTAGAGTAAATGATGTTTCAAATGTTAACTGTTATCTTTTAAAATCCTAAGTAATAATTTCCATTTAAGTAGACTTCCTTATTTTCTCCATGGCATCCTAATGAAAACGCTACTACAAATATTAACTGTAGCTAATATTTCATGAACACTTACTACTACATGTTAACACTGTGCTGAATCCTTTCTAGGGGTTATTTGAACCCTTAGAAAAGCCACTGGAGGTAAGTACCATGATGTTCCTATTACAACCCAACCAACCAACCAAAGACTCAGAGAGGCTAAATAGCTTGCCCAAGTTCACAGAATAAGTGGGGAAAATAGAATTCATATAGGTTTGACTCCAGAATCCATAATTGTAAGTACTCCCCCATCCTGAGAGGAACAGCAGCTTTGTTTTCTCTGCTAAAATCTGCTTACAAGCAAGTTGAGAACAAGCTAATTCATTCTCCTTTAACCTTATTTTCTACTTGACTGTCCAAGGTCCCAGTTGGAAAAGCAGAAGTTGTTTTTTTTGTTTTTGTTTTTGTTTTTTTAACGTTTGCTTTTTAACTTACCCACTCACAGTCAATTCCAAGTACTGGAAAATCTTCTAATTCACTTCTAAGCAAGGGCTCGATTTGATCCCACTCTGCCTCCTGAGACACCGTCACCACCTTTGCTTTAAGGATCTGTTCCTCCCACGAGGATCTGGGGGCACTGGAGTGCAGCTGATCATCTTCTGGAGGGGGCAGCTCTCTACTGCCCAGCACTTTCTGCTGTGGCTGTGGGGTCACAGGGCTCGTTTTACTCCTTCGGCGGCGCTGGATGCCTTTCCAGAGGACAAACCCCCCTATAGCCACACCCAGAAGGGTAGTCACTGTCAAAGCCACAAAATTCTGTCTAGACATCTTCGACTTTTCTACTCTTTAGAAAAGCATATCACTAATCCCACAATCTGCAAAACAAATGGCAAAAATACATTTATATACAGAATATAAACCTTTACATAAACAAGTTTTCCTCTAAAAAAGTCCCATTTACAATATCCGTGCCCACAAACTGAAAGAACTGCTATAAATTTCCATGTGAAATAGTATAATAGTTTAATTTCTTCATCTTTATAATCTCTGTATTCCGTCTCTATCTCCATCCTCACCCCAGGAAATCTCCCTGCCCTCTGACAGTTCCCTAGGGCTCTCTTAATGACATAAAATCATATCAATCAAAACAACAGGCTATCTGCACAATGAAGTGTGATCTAGGAAAAAAAAAAAAAACAATAAGCTAGACTCTCACCTCTAACTGCTGATTAATGAATGAATTTTTTAGTTAATGGATCTTCTTCAAAGTATTTTGCATTTTAAACCTTTGATCACCTAACAGTTGAAGGAAAACTTTTGCTTCTCAATTAAAAAAAAATGTAATCCTCAGTCAGTTGGTAGGGAGATTTTTTTTGACTTCTCTGGAAGGTGGGGCAGCGAGGGAGTGGAGGAAACAGGCTTGAGTCAACACTTTCTGTTGCTCCAGAAGGCTCAGTAGTTCTTCATAGAAACTGATTCGGTTATCGTAGGGTAAGGCAGGGGGATATAAAAGAGAAAGGATAAGGAAAGAAAAAGAAAAAGGTAGAACTTAGAGAGATATCCAAGATGCATAGAAGGAGGTTGCAAACTGAAGTGTTCACAGCGCCAGGCAGGTTAATGTAAATAAATAAAGCAAGCCACAAAATAGTCCCTTTTTCGTTTTTCTATAACATGTGGCTTTCTCCATGTAGTTTCTGTTTTCCTATATGTGAGAAAGAAATGAGTATACAGCACTATTTCTGTACTATTAAAATAACAGTAAAAGTACAACAGTAAATAGTAAGTGGCCTGGTCAGGTGTGGTGGCTCATGCCTGTAATCCCAGGACTTTTGGAGGCCGAGGTAGGTGGATCACTTGAGATCAGGAGTTTGAGAGCAGCCTGGCTAATATGGTGAAACCCCATCTCTACTAAAATTACAAAAATTAGCCAGGCGTGGTGGTAGGCACCTGTAATCCCAGCTACTCAGGAAGCTGAGGCAGGAGAATCACTGGAACTTGGGAGGTGGAGGTTTCAGTGAGCCGAAACTACACCACTGCACTCCAGCCTGGACAATGAGAGTAAGACTCTGTCTCAAAAAACAAAAAAAGTAAATGGCCTTTGGTCTTAGGGCCAGGGAGAAAACATGGGGCAGCAACCATTCGGCACAAGCTGATGACCCTGTGCAGAAAGAAGGCCCAGAGTGGTCAAATACTTTGCTTATTTAAGAGAAGTCAGGAATCTGAATTTTATATGAAATGTCACCATTTTAAAATGCTGGCAATAAATTTACAGTTTTAAAAAATATTGTGCCAGCCAAACAAAAACACACTAGGCACCAGGCTACCCATCCGTGGCCTCTGGCCTAAAAGCTAAATTGCCCAAAGACAGAGCAATCAGCTGCACCCTGCCTACACTTCTCTATGGCTGAAGGTTACCCACTGAATGTATATGGTTTTTATTACTTTTTAAAAATTTCGTCAATAATAAAAAAAAATTTTTTTTTAATTGGAGGGAGTCTCGCTCTGTTGCCCAGACCTGAGTACAGTGGTGTGATCTCGGCTCACTGCAGTCTGAGTACAGTGGCGTGATCTTCGCTCACTGTAGTCTCTGCCTCCCAGGTTCAAGCGATTTTCCTGCCTCAGCCCCCCAAGCAGCTGTGACTACAGGGGTGTGCCACCACATCCAGCTAATTTGCATATTTTTAGTAGAGACAGGGTTTCACCATGTTGGCCAGGCTGGTCTTGAACTCCTGACCTCAAGTGATTCACCAGCCTCAGCCTCCCAAAGTGCTGTGATTACAGGTGTGAGCCACTGCACTGGGCCAAAAACAATTTCGTATTTACAACAACTTCTGGATTATAATCATGCCTATATAGATATGTGAGTATTAGAGAAGAAAAACTGAATCACAGCAATTATTACAGTAATAATGAAAAGTGGTAATAGCTATGCTGTTTTAAAAACATTTACTTTATTCCAGAAACTGTGCTAAGAATTTCATATGTTATTTTCTCCAGTGCTTTTATTGAAGAGGAAACTGAGGCTTAATGAGATTAAATAACTTGTGCAGAGAAACTTCTGATTAAAGTAATCTGAGAAGACATAAAAGTCCTTCCCTTTTCCACTCTAACCAATGCAAATGCTGGAGAAGCCACTGAAAAGATAAAAATGTAATACACAGGCCGGGCGCGGTGGCTCAAGCCTGTAATCCCAGCACTTTGGGAGGCCGAGACGCGTGGATCATGAGGTCAGGAGATCGAGACCATCCTGGCTAACACGGTGAAACCCCGTCTCTACTAAAAAATACAAAAAAAAAAAACTAGCCGGGTGAGGTGGCGGGCGCCTGTAGTCCCAGCTACTCGGGAGGCTGAGGCAGGAGAATGGCGTGGACCCGGGAGGTGGAGCTTGCAGTGAGCTGAGATCCGGCCACTGCACTCCAGCCTGGGAGACAGAGCGAGACTCCGTCTCAAAAAAAAAAAAAAAAAAAGTAATACACAGTTAAGCCCCCAAAAGAAAGAAAGAAATCATCATGTGCCAGAAAAGGAAGAGGAAACCCAAAGTGGGTGGAAGGTTGAGTGCAGTGGCTCATGCCTGTAATCCCAGCACTTTGGGAGGCCAAGGCAGGTGGATTGCTTGAGCCTAGGAGTTTGAGACCAGCCTGGGAAACATGGTGAAACCCTGTCTATACCAAAAATACAAAAAATTAGCTGGGTGCGGTGGCACATGCCTGAAGTATCAGCGACTTAGAGGGCTGAGGTGGGAGGATAGCTTGAGCTGAGGAGGTCAAGGCTACGGGGAGCTCTGATGGTGTGCCACTGCACCCACTGCACTCCAGCCTGGGTGACAGAGTGAGACGCTGTCTCAAAAAAAAAAATAAGTGGGTAGGTGGGAGATGAAGCTGGGCAGAGACCAGAACTCATATCAGACCCAGAGCTGGAGTTTATCAGCAACCCAGAGGCAGAACTCTAGGCCACAGGCCCAGGACACAGCTGGAATCCAGGAGAGTGCCACACTATCCACAAACCATAAGTATTTGCCCACCTTGGCCCGGGCAAGCCACCTGTCCCAGGCTAAAGGCATGAACAGAATCCCTCGAAAGAGGACAAATCCTCAGCTGGGTGCGGTGGCTCACACCTGTAATCCCAGCACTTTGGGAGGCCAAGGCGGGTGCACAGCTTGAGCCCAGGAGTTTGAGATCAGCCTGGCCAACACGGTGAAACACCATCTCTCTACTAAAAAGACAAAAATTAGCCAGGTGTGGTGGTGCACGCCTGTAATCCCAGCTACTCCAGAGGCTGAGGCATGAGAATTACTAGAACCTGGGAGGTGGAGATTGTAGTGAGCCAAGATCCAGCCACTGCGCTCCAACCTGGGCAATAGAGTGAAACTATGTCTCAAAAAACAAATAAAAAGAAAAAATTAATTAAAAAATAAAAGACAAATCTTCAAGCCTACACTTCTCTATGGCTCAAGCAGAAACAAGGTTCAAGTTCACATTATCCTCATAAAAGGGAAACCTAAGCCAATAAACTGAATTTAAACTGGTGCAGAACTGGTAAATTCTATTGGAACCAGGCACAGTCAATCACAACACACACACACACCCCACTCACTCCACGTCGGAAACATACAGGACTACCATGGAAGATCAGTCCCTCGAAGGGGCTCACAATGAATCACAACAAAACAAAACCCTAAAGCCGACAAAAATAGTGCACAGAGTCGTCAAATATTTCCATACCTGAGATCTGAAAAGGACTTTAAAGAATATTCAGAGATATTAATGAAAATAATAACCAAAACGAAGACAAAAGATGTACAATTCTAGATATGAAAAATAGTTATTAAAAATTTTTTAAAACTCAATACTCAATAGACAAGTTAAAATGTAGACCACACATACAGAGAGAGTTAACGAATTGAAGAAAAAAATCTGAGGAAGTCACCAGAATGTAGTAGACAGATAAAGAGGTAGAAAACATACAGAGGCCAGGCATGGTGGCTCACACCTGTAATCTCAATACTTTGGAAGGCGGAGGTGGGAGGATCACTTGAGCCCAGGAGTTCAAGACCAATCTGGGCAACATAATGAGATCCCATCTTTGCTAAAATTTTTTTTAAAACAGAAAGAATACACAACAAAGCAGAGACATGGCAAATGGACTGAGAAACTCCAGCATTCATGGAATAAAGATTTGGAATGTATGAAAAGGGCCAGATTTTGTACTATTCTCTGAGTCCCAAGCTGGATAAATTAAATCTACTCATAAAAAGACTCATATAAGAATGTTCATAGCAGTTACTTGTTTGTAACAGCCAAAATCTGGAAACAGCCTGTTGGCCTGACTGATGAATGCATGACTGCTGGTTCATTCATTGTCTGTCCATGAGAACAGGAGTCTTAACTGGCTTTGTTACCACCATATCCCCGGTGACTCAGCACAGAGTTGATGATACTCAGTAAATAGTTACTGAATGAATGAAATTCAGCTCAAGGTATTATATGTTAACATTTGTATGATAAATGTCTCTAATTCAATCACCAGATTACAACATTCTGTTTATTCAAATGAAAAAAAGTTTTTCCCCTTATCGAGCCTCGACGTTATAAGGAAGTAATATGGTTCACTACTGGGCTGGGAGCCAGAAAAAAAATCAAACTTTGATAACAGTTTACTCTGGGATCTAAGCTTTTCAATGCCTCACCAAATCTCATGAGTGAAACAAAATGTCATTCTTAAGTTTTTTATATAAATTAATTGAACATAAAACTACTTTTTTTGAGACAGAGTCTCACTCTGTTGTCCAGGCTAGACTGCAGTAGCACAATCACGGCTCACTGCAGCCTCAACCTCCCGGGCTCCCACTTCGGCCTCCTGAATAGCTGGGGGTACAGGTGCACGTCACCATGCTCAGCACATTTTTTGATTTCTTGTAGAGATGGGGGTCTCACTATGTTGCCCAGGCTGCTCTCAAACTCCTAGCCTCAACTGATCCTCCTGCCTCACCCTCCCAAAGTGCTCAGGTTATAGGTGTGAGCCAATATGCCCAGCTAAGTATCAATGGCTACCTAATGATAGTAGGATTATGAACAATTTTTATTTTTCAAATTTTATACGAATATGTACATATTTGTAATTAGAAAAATACACTCTTTTTAAACTGGTGCTCTTTAGAGATAGGCAAGTAAATATCCCACTTGACAAAACACATAATCATATTCTTGGAATAAATCATACTTTAATGAGTTAAATGATTATGTTTAAAGTGTTTGGAAAGTAGTATATGGTAGACAACACAAGCCCTAATGTCAAATAGCCTAGGTTTAAATCCAGCCTCTGTTACTCACTAGCTGTAGGAACTTAGGCAATTTACCAAACTTCGCTAAGCCTCAGTTTCCTCATCTGTGAGACAGGAATACCTATTATGTATGATTACTGTGAGGCTTAAGTAAAATTAATAAAATTCACCTAGTATATTGGCTAGAATATTAGGATTCTATAAATGTTAGCTATTACTACAAAACCACAGAACTTCTATTGAAGGAAATCAAAGAATCAGAGTTAAAATTTTGGAGTCAAGTTCAGCTCCCACCCAATTCAAGAATCCTTTCCATGATAATCCCAACAGATCATGACCTAGTCTCTGATTGAATACTTCCAGTATCTGAGTTCATCACCTTCAGAGGCAGTTTTTGTTGAAAGTCCTTGCGTTCTGTAAAAGCTGCCTACTCACAAATTGCCCTCTTTGATAGCCTCTGCAATGACAAGTGTTTACTCCCTCCTTAAAACCTGTTAAAGAGGTGAAGAGAGCTCTGAGATTCCCCTTATAGTCTTCCTGTGACCTGGCTTATAGACTCTCCTGGCCAAGGCCTTCTGCGCAGTTCCAACTTTGTGAATGTATCTCTTCAAATGTGGCATTTAGGTCTATACGCAATACTTGAGGCCAGGCATGATGGCTCAGGCCTGTAATTCCAGCACTTTGGGAGGCTGAGGTAGGTGGACTGCTTGAACCCCTCCCACCTCAACCCCCGAAGTAGCTAGTGCCAGGAGTTCAAGACCACCCAGGGCAACATGGCGAAATCCCATCTCTACTAAAAAAAAAAAAAAAAAATTTACAAAAAATTAGCCACGCATGGTGGCACACACCTATAGTCCCAGCTACTGAGGAGGCTGAGGTGGGACAATCACCTGAGCCTGGGAAGTCAAGGCTACAGTGAGCCGTGATCACGCCACTAAAGTCCAGCCTAGGCGACAGGAGTGAGACCCTGTCTCAAAAAAACAAACTTGAGACACGGGCTAACTGATGCAGGCTACAGTGACAGTATTACATCCCAGCAGCTGGACCCTATATTTTATTAATGCTGTATGAAATGATATATTTTTTCGTAACAGAATCTCATTGTTGGGTCATATAAAGTTTGCAGTAAATTAAAATTTACTGACGCCAAATCAGGTTCTCCATTTTAAATATTTGTAATTTATATTTTGCACTTAAATCAAAAATGCTTCTTCTAAATTTCATCTTGTCTGTTTCAGCCAAATGTTTCATATATTGAGGCCAATTTGCATCTTGATTATACTTCCCTCTCAAACATAATTTTATGTACAAAACTGAGGATCTGTTTTCAGAGAAAATAACATCTCCTAACATATGCTTTTATTAATTCATTTTTATTTGGAGAGGTTTTGTGAACTGCATGCTTTTTTTCTTTTCCAGCTAGAGGATTCATTCAGCAAACTTTTATATAACACATTATATAAGTCAGACACTGTGATAGACCCTGGGTAAAAAGAGTTGAAAGGCACAATTTGCCTTCAAAAAATTCATGATTTAGCCAAGGAAAAATATACATAATGAACAAGTTGCGAAGACTGAGCTAACACCGTCAGGTGAAGCACATACAGGTATACGCATGGCTTGGACTTGAGGAAAGAGTGGAGATATTGTTTTTATTTTTATTGTTTTGAGACAGGGCCTCACTTTGTCACCCAAGCTGGAGAGCCATGTCACAATCTCAGCTCACTGCACCCTTGACCTCCTGGGTTCAAGTGATCCTCCCACCTCAACTCCCGAAGTAGCTAGCACCAACCACAGGCGCATGACAGCACCCCAACTAACATTTTGCATTTTTAGTAGAAACGGGGTTTTGCTGAGTTGCCCAGGCTGGTCTCAAATTCCTGAGCTCCAACACCCCAGCTAATATTTTGTATTTTTGGTAGAAACAGGGTTTCACCAGGTTGCTCAGGCTGATCTTAAACTCCTGAGCTCAAGTGATCTGCCCACATCAACCTCCCGAAGTGCTAGGATTACAGGCATGAACCACCACACCTGGCCGAGTTTGGGTATATTATTAAGACAAAACACGGCTAGGTGTGGTGGCTCATGCCTGTAATCCCAGCACTTTGGGAGGCCGAGGCGGGTGGATCACCTGAGGTCAGGAGTTCAACACCAGCCTGACCAATATGGTGAAACCCCGTCTCTACCAAGAATTACAAAAATTAGCCAGGTGTGGTGGCATGCACCTGTAGTCTCAGTTACTCAGGAGGCTGAGGCAGGAGAATCGCTTGAACCTGGGAGGCGGAAGTTGCAGTGAGCCGAGACCGTGCCACTGCGCTCCAGCCTGGGCGACGGAGCAAGACTCTGTTTCAAAAAAAAAAAAAAAAAAAGAGAAAACACTTGCTGAGAGAGATAGTGTCTGAGACTGGCATTCAAACAGGAGCAAGAGTTCTCCAGGTGCAGGAGCCAGACAGGAGGAGGGCACTCCAGGTGGAGGGAATAGCTTGTGCACAAATGGGAAGGGCAGGAAGCACCACAGGATAGGTGAAACATTTAAACAAATGTAAAATGTAGGCGGGCGTGGTGGCTCACGCCTGTAATCCCAGTACTTCGGGCGGCCAAGGTGGGAGGATCACCTGAGATCAGGAGTTTGAGACCAGCCTAGCCAACATGGTGAAACTCCATCTTTAATAAAAATTCAAAAATTAGCCAGGCCTGGTGGCGTGTGCTTGTAGTACCAATTACTCAGGAGGCTGAGACATGAAAATCACTTGAATCGGGGAGGCAGAGGTTACAGTGAGCTGAGATCGCACCACTGCACTATAGCCTGGGGGACAGAGTAAGACTCAATCACAAAAACAGAAACAAACAAAAAAACCAAACGTAAGATGTACTATACATGTAAAATATGCACTAAATTTTTGAATACTTACATTTGAATACTTACCCCAGGCTGGAGTACAATGGTGCAATCTCAGCTCACTGCAACTTCTGCCTCCCGGGTTCAAGCAATTCTCCTGCCTTAGCCTCCTGAGTAGCTGGGACTACAGGCGCCCGACACCACACCCGGCTAATTTTTGTATTTTTAGTAGAGGCGGGGTTTCACCATGTTGGCCAGGCTGGTGTTGAACTCCTGACCTCAGGTGATCCACCCGCCTCGGCCTCCCAAAGTGCTGGGATTACAGGCGTGAGCCACCACGCCCAGCCAATACTTATGTTTTAAAAGAATGCTCCCGGCCAGGCACAGTGG